TAAAAGTAGTAGTAGTTGTTGTTGTAGCTGCACCATGTTGAAGGATTGCTGGCTGTTGATCACGTCACGCTGCCAGGCCATCCGCTCCCAGAGTTGTGTAGAGATAGGTTTGTTGACGCCGAACTCGGCCGACAGCCATTGCAGAAACTGCGTCCCTTCGACCAGAAAGCCTCCAGCAGAAGTGCGCCCCCTCACAGGAAGCGGAAGCCATGCAAAGGCCAATCCCCTTCAAGGATCCAGTTCCCAGTTGCAGGGCCACATCCGCAAGTTTGCGAAGGCGAGCCTTCAGCTGAGCCTGCGCAGCCGCATCGGGCGCTCCCTTCTGTCGGAGGGCAGCACGCATGGCACGCAGATCCTCATTAGCCTTCTGCTCCACACCGTACAAGGCGTTTTGACAGCCGAAAAGGTTAGGCGTGTGACAGGATCCAGGGTGGAGGAAGAAAGTCCACGTTAAAGAATAGACATTGAAGGACGCGATGGGCTGGAAACGAGCAGTTGGTGTTAGGAAGCTCGCGAGCAAGAGCTCGCGCACCCATGGCCGAGCCACATGGCCGAGGCACACTCTGGGTAGCGGCAATGTTCTTCCACTCAGCAAGAAGTCCCCTCGGTAGCAAAGCCTCCATCTCCCCTGTTGGGTTAAGGCAGCCTGCGCCTCTAACGCTTGAAAGAACTCGTCCACGGCATCCCCGGTCGGAAGGTCATGAGCACGCGACATAGAGGGAAAGAGCTAAAAGCGCCCTGGCCAGGCGGCGAAGAAGATGGCCACAGGCACACTAGATAAGAAGGCTGGAGCGGCAAGCAGAAGCTTTTTTCAGACGAGCTGCCGACTGAAAGCAAGAGCACGCAAACAAGCCAAGCAGCACTATAGAAAGCTGCGGCAGCTGTTCGAGCCTTTGTTCGCCGCCAGAGACACGAGCCAGTCGGCATAATTTACAGTAGCCGGAAAATACACTGTACGGGCAGAGCACTTGGACAGTCCATACGTGGGGTCGCGGTTCCAGCAAACAGTTTGTGTTTGCCAAGACGACCTAGTCAGGAAAATAGCCAGCTGCCTGCACAGTGCGAACACGGCGTTTGCACAGCTCATACTTGGCATCGTTGCGTTCGGCAAAGAAGCCAATCCGCTCGTTCCAGGAAATCAAAGTTGCGGGGATAATCAGCTCCTCAGGCAGGTTTGCAAGCGGCACAACCGCACAGGGCGGGCGAGCAGCCAGTAACCAACACCATGAGGGTTGTGCCGCAAGTTCAAAAGCAGCTGAGACGCAGCGGCTGGACCCGCTGCGGGAGCGGCTGCTGCTGTGTCGGCATCGTGTGGGACAGGGTGTGGAGAGGCGCGCGAGCCTCCCCTTAACGCGCCGGGCGCGGTCATGCGCTTGGGGCGCGGAAGGCCAGCGCCGCAGACGCGCAGGTTGTACCAATGGCACAGCACGAGCATGAAGACGCGGAACACAGCCGGAGCCATGGCAGACGCGCCAGCAACAAAAGCGTCGGCCCACGAAAAGAACTGCTTGGCTGTCTGAGAATTCACAGCGCCCAGGTCACCGAACTTCTGCCATAAACATGGTATGGTTTTCATCCAAACACGCTGTGTGGTTGTGCTGTTGAAAACTGTCAAGCACGTAAGCCAGGTCTGCCATGGCACGTGCCACTTCCGTTCTGTCGGCACGGCCGGGATGTCGCTTGTAGCGCCCTAGGGCACAGGCGTTGTCGTAGAAGACGTAGCGCAGCGGGTGGTCATCCGAACAGGCGAGGGTGGAGAGCAAGGCATAGACCTGAGTTAGTGACTCTGCATTGGCCAAAGGCATTTGGGCACAGACACGGCCACACGGAAGGGTTGCAACCAGGAGCCTGCCATATAGCGTCGCTGTGTCACAGCGCAGCATTTGTCGATGCGGCCAGGGTTCACTTCGTCCTCTTGTCGCTGCAAGGCTGGCTAAGCTGTGTCGAAGAAGCTGGCGTCGTCTCCGCTGGCTTCCGGCAGGCTGGGCCGTGCAGAATGCCCGCGACGCCGCTTGCGACGGTCCGCCGCCACGGCTAGATGAAGTTCGTACTCACGAACGGCCGCGGCTGGCACGTCAGCAGCGCTTTGCCACGTGGAGCGTCCATCCACCTTGTAGGAACGAACACCACGGGGAGAGGGGAGGCGAGGAGAGGGGAGGGGTGTAATCCCTAATCATCCCTACTTGGGATATTGTCAAAATGCCCCTAAACCCTAAACCCCAATCCCTACAGGGCCCTAAAAATCCCTAAAATACCTACTTGGGAGGGGAGGAGAGGGGAGTACACATGTACTAAAGAAAAACCATGCGACAAACCGGAATCGCCAAATATGGCACTGCGGGGAGTAGTGGAGGAAGGGTGAAGGGGAGGGGATCCAGAGCCAGGGCTCTGTGCCTAGAAACGTAGACCTGTACTAAAGAAAAAATATATACGACAAACCGGAATCGCCAAATATGAAAGCGTGTTTCTGATATACGATGAGGGCGCGTGTCTAATATGTATGAAGAAAGGCGAGGGCGCGGTGCCTAGAAATGTACACCTGTACTAAAGAAACGCAGTGTCGACAAAAATCTCGGAGGTGGAGGACAGAGGTGGAGAGGGAAGGGGAGGAGGTATCTAATATGTAATTATGATAAAGGGTATCGGATCGAGTTGAGACGCAGGGTCTCGCATTGCCGTTTTACCCCAGTGCCTTTCATCACGGCACGTTCGCCCGCTTGGCATCGCGCACAACGCAAACGTCGGCATTTGACACGCCGACGCACTTGGGACCTCAAAGCCCAAGGCAAGCAGCCGTGGCTGCGAGACATACGGTTATTGGAGGCCCACCATTCACGACCTCTGTACCGTCTCCCTATGGGAGGAAAGCGAGCCACTCAGCGGCCATGGAAGCAGCAGCCAGGACAGGATTACCATGCAGACCAGTCTGGAAGGTACTGGCAATATTGGTCTGGTGCCAAGCCATCGCCCAGATCTTGGAAATCCGGCCTTCCGCAGAGATACGACGAGATTCAGGTTGGTGCAACGGTACCCGCGGTCGAAGAGACGAGACTCCTCGCTACAGCCCCCAGCGGATCGGAACTACGTCCCGCGACCAAGGATCCTGGCGAAGCAGTTCGAAGGCAAGTGCAGAAAGCACTGACAACCTCCAAACGCTGCGATACGAAGATACGGAAGCTGATGGAGACAAAGGACCTTCGCAAAGCCCAATGGCAGGCTTGGAAGGAGCAGATGAAGAACGCTGTCATCAAGCAACAGCAACAGTTCGAGAAAGACCAGGCCAGCATCGACGCAGAGATCACAGCCCTACAGACTCAAGGCGAGGAGGCCGCGCAAGAGATGCACAGCCTGGTGCTCAACGGCCTCGCGGCCATGGACACGGACGTTCAAGAAGGAGCCCAACGACCCAGTTCGGAAGCCTGGGACGAGATTGCCGGCCAGACAGGCGCGGACCCACCAGTGCTGGACTTCATGAGGCAAGCCTTTGCCTATGCGCAGCTGGCCCATCAACAGCAACGAGGCGGCCGCCCAGCTGCCATTGGACAGATGGGTTTAGGTGTGATGCCACCACAGATTATGGAGCAGCTCGCGGGCTGTCCGCCACCTTCCTTTGGCCGGCCCCCGGAACAGGTACATGCCAGGCCACAGGAGATGAGTGGCTCGCATGGAGCGCCCATGCCGACCGGGATTCAGACTACCGAAGCTCCCTCCTATACAGAGTCGGACAGCAGCACCGCCAGAATGGGGCCCTACAGCCGCTCACCGATGGCAGGAGGCATGGGTACAGACAACAGGAATCCCTCAGTGAACCGGGCCGTTCCGGAACCTCGACAGACTTCTGGTCAAGCTCGGGTCATGGAGGCGGACCCACTGCTCACCGCCACGGCAGCGCCTGCGGCCCCGGCTCAAGCAACAGCTCCCCCGGGCTCGGCACCAGTACTTCGGCCAGTACCCCTGCCTCACCCTCCCGACGAGATGCCGGCTTCTCCGCTTGTGGACCAGCTCAGACAGAGGAGACAGGAGGCCAGAAGGGCGATGGAACCCTTTGGAGGTCGCGGTGCTGCGGCTCCTGTTGCTGCAGCCACGGAGCAGACCAACACAGATCACACGGAGGCTACAAGGTCTGGACCTTTCCTGAAGGACGACGACGAAACTGCAGAGCAAGAGGTGAATGCGCAACGTGGCAGTACCTCACCAGGCTTTGGGAGATTGGAATAGCCTCGGGTAGCCTTTCGCCGGTTCCGGGAAAGCAATCGGGTGAGACCTCTGGGAGAGACAGGCTGGAGGGACAAGGGAGCACTGGGCCTTCATTGAGCCCCCTTGCTCCAAGTTTCCCCTCGGTCAATGTCCTCTCACAGGTGCTCATTCGAGTGCAGTTCTCAAGGACCTTCTGTCTGAGCCAGAGGACTGTACAGCTGTGGAGTCTTGTATAGATTTCCAGGGCACGTCATTTTCCAGTGGAGGTTGTCTTACGGAGCCAGCGAGCAATGTACTTTCTCATTGCCCTTATCGCCCTTAGTACGCTCGCTGGCTTGTTCCATCCGTGCCCTGCTTTTTTGCAGCGAGTAGACGCCTACATTGCGGATCGCTCCCGAGAGGGTCCTCGCCGAACAGCGGCGAGCTTCTGGGACCGCAGACCCCAATGAGGCGCTCTTTTCGTCTCACCCGCATTGTAATTCATGGTTTAGAGGACGCGCCTTCGCGGCACTGGAGTCCATCAGAAGAAGAAGAATTATGATAAAGAGGCGAGGAGCGGTGCCTAGAAACGCACACCTGTACTAAAGAAATATGATGAAGGACCGAGGGCGCGGTGCCTAGAAATGCACACCTGTACTAAACAAACGCAGTGTCGACAAAAACCTTGGAGGTGGAGGAGAGAGGAGGAGAGGGAAGGGGAGGAGGTATCTAATGTGTAATTAAATTGAAGAGCTGAGGGCGCGGTACCTAGAAACGTACGCTTGTACTAGAGAAGTATGAAGAAGGACCAAGGGCGTTGTATTGGTGTTTTTTCCAAGGTTTCCGTGTTTCGGAAGCCGAAAACATTGGAAAAACCAATAAAAACCATAAAAACCATAAGTTTCAAACTATCTCCCGATGGTGGTGTCGCGCCTGGAGATATTATTTTCCAGTATCTTCGGCTCTGTGTGTGTCTCGTTTTATTTATTGGTTTTTCCAA